CCAACCCATTGTCCCAACTCGTGCATAAACCAGCAGCACTTGGATGGCATTTACCAAGTCACGTGTCAACATTCTGCTAGGCTAGAGTTCAGAAAAAAAGGTTTAAAAAACAAATGAATTAAAGCGAAGCAATTTTCTTATTTAAAACAGCAACCATGATTGAAATCAGCTTAGTAGCAATGTAATTGTGGTTTTAGTCACTGAAACAACTAAATTGCATTTTCATGGCTGTTGCAACTACTTACCACTGAGGTCATATACTAATTGCTGTCAGTCAGGGCTCACAGCTCAGAACCTGACAAGTTCACAGAAGAAACTAAATTGCACAAGAGAAATCTGACTGGCAGGAACGAAATACAGACCCCACCCCGCCCCGCCACCAAGCCCCAGATTAATTTTTACATAAACATTTAAAACCCCTGGCCATCAACTCAGCAAGTATAAACCAAAAGAACTGCGGATGCTGTAAATCAGGAACAAAAGCAGAAGTTGCTGGAAAAGCTCAGCAGGTCTGGTAGCATCTGTGAAGGAGAAAAACAGAGTTAACGTTTCGGGTCCGGTGACCCATCCTCAGCAAATATCATGGATTCACAATAAAATTAATTATAAAATACTGAAATTATGGATCTATGCTGTATTCATGTTGACAGCTTTTCCAACAGTATTGCTGGGGCCAATTTTAACCCTAAATGCTAGGGGAGAAACTCATGGGTTCGAGTTTAATTTTGTGTTGACACTGTTTTCCGTTCTGATCTGGGGTCTGACCAGCTCAGTCGGCTGGTTTGTAATGCAGAGAGATGCCAACAGTGTAGGTTCAATTCCAGCACCAGCTGAAGTTACTAAGGGGGATCCTCTTTTTCATCATCTCCCTTCACCCAATGTGTGGCAACTATCACTAGTTATCACTTTCTAATGAGACAGTAGCCATATGGTCTGGTAAGATTATGGCAATTTTACCTTTTATATTTATTTTATGCTCCAAAGCTACTACAACGTATTCACATTTTTTTTTCCATGCTACTCGTTCAGATGGATTAGTGCATTGTTTTATTGGTTTAAAGGAGATATCAGCTACAGGATAATCAATATGTTTTGCACACTACTCGATCAAATCAGTTGACACAATAGTATAGTATCAGCCTTGGTTAAGACCATAAGACCATATGAAATAGGAACATTCGGCCCATCAAAACTGCTGAACATTCAATAGGATCACAGGTGATTCAACATTCCTCTCATCCATTTTCCTGCATTCTTTCCCATTGCCCTTGATTCCTCTACTGCTCAAAAATTAAATAATTAAAAGCCTTAAAAATACACAAGGACTGTGCCCCCACAGCCTTCTATGGCAGCAAGTTCCAAAGACTCACAACCATCTGCAAGCAGAAATTCCTTCTCATGTCAGTCTTGAATTGGTGTCCTTTATTCTGAAATTATACCTCTGATCCTAGATGCTGTCATGAGCAGAAACATCCTCTCAACATTTACCCTGTCCAGTGCCTTAAGAATCTTATGCATTTCGGTGAGATCACTTCTCACTTTTCTGAACTTCAATGAGTAGAGTCCCAACCTGTTTAGCCTTTGTTCATAAGCCAGACCCTCCATTCAAGGGATTATCCTCATGAGCCTTCTCCAAACTGACTCCAATGAAACAATATCTTTCCCTGAAGAAAGGGAACCAAAACTGCTCACAGATGTAATCTCACCTGCACCTTGCACAGTTGCAGTAAGACTTCCCAACTCTTATCCTCTAACCCCCTTGAAATAAGGGCCAACATTCTATCAGTCTTCCTGCTTACCTGCTGCATTTGTGTGTCAGCTTTCTGTGTTTCATTCACAAGTACCAACAAGTGTCTCCATGTTGCAGCTTTGTGTAACTCACTATTAGTGTTCTTATAATGCAGCGCAACAGTCATCGGTTGCCCAGGGGTCTAAGCAGGAAACCTAGAAATAATACTCAGCATGACCATGATGGTGTTTGATACCTTAGCGAAGCTGCGATGGCCTCAGAGAGGTCTATTCTGAGTGAGCGGCTATTTTAAGTGAGCAGTTATTTTGAGTGAGCGACAGTGAGGAGTATCAGTTCAGCTTTGAGAAGGTGCCTCTAGGTAGCAGTGATCATTTTATGACTAAACTGCTCATTCAGTTTGAGACAGCAGAAGAATGAATCTACGAATAATATTTTAAACTTTGATTAGGGCAACTACAGTTGTGCAATGAGAAGTCATTGAATTAAGAGGGATTTGTGTGTCTTTTAAAAGCATACGTAAATGGGGTACTGGGCATAAACCAGGACTCTGTATTGGTAAAGCTTACTGCACATTTTGGATTTTCAAATAGGCTTTGATATTCTGGGATTGGAAGATGACAATGCATTGTTTTAAATCTTTGACTACAGCTAAACTGAGAGAGCTAGCTGATAAGAAAAGTAGAAATAAAATCAAGCTATTGTAAGGATGAGACTCGTAAACAATTTCCTAGTATTTGGATTAAAAGAAGTAATACTTGAATTAGAATTAGAATTGGAATTAGAATTAGGTTTATTGTCACGTTCTCACATGAGTACAGTGAAAAGCTTACAAATCACCACTTACGGTGGCATCTTAGCTGCAAAGGTGCTTTGGTACAGATTCTTAAGTACAAATTCTTAGGGAAAAAAAAACTGAGAAAAATAAAGAAATAAAAAGTTCAGAAAAACAATCTTTCCAAACCAGTGCCTAGCCTCTAGTCCACACCGGGCCTTGACTCCAGACCACCCTGGAATTCACTTCGAGGCTGGAAGACCCCTCTGGAATCAAATCGAGGTGGAAGTGCAAGTCCGAGGTCACACTGAAGGACTGCTGTGCCGGACTGCCAAGAAACCATCGCGCTGGGTAGGGACACTGCCATGATGGGCTGGGAGACTGCCACGATGGGCTGGGAGACTGCCACAATGGGCTGGGAGACTGCCACAATGGGCTGGGAGACAGCCATGATGGGCAGGAAGACTACCACGATGGGCTGGGAGACAGCCACGATGGGCTGGGAGACAGCCACGATGGGCTGGGAGACAGTCACGATGGGCTGGGAGACTGCCACGGTGGGCTGGGAGACTGCCACGGTGGGCTGGGAGACTACCATGATGGGCTGGGAAACAGTCATGATGGGCTGGGACACTACCATGATGGGCTGGGAGACAGCTACTCTGTTCCAAGAGCCGCCACGCTGGGCCGAGATTTTGCCATGCTGGGTACATGCTCAGGCTGAGAGTCTGAGTCTAGGAGTCCAAGTCCACACTGAAGCTGAGACTTCAGGACATTGCTGAGAAGAAAGAAAGAAGGAGAAAGAAACAAAAGGGAAAAAGAAGAAAAGAATTGGATGAACTCAACGAGATCCAACTGATGAGTCTTACTCCTCCGCTATCTTGGAATTGTTTTCTAAAAAATAATGGAATCTGTACTTGATGCATCATCACTAATATTATCTAAGGTTCAGCTAGAAAATAAAAATTGGAGAGAAAGGAAAGGAGAAGCTTGAATTGGAAGAAAAAAAAGTTTAGAAAGGAAAAAAAATTGGAAGTGGAGGAGAAAGAAGGGACAAGAATCTTGAATTGAAAGAATATCATTTATTGTAGAATAGAATAGAATAGAAGCCCAAGTCCATCACCTGACACCAATGTGGACTGAATTCCATTTGAAACTGATCAGCCCGTCTGACCAACCTGTCTATAACCTTCTGTAATCTAACTCTAACCTCCTTAGTATTTACCACATTTTTCATATCAACCACACCTTACTGATCAACCCTCCTACTTTCATGTCTGAATCATTTATATAATCCACAAACAGCAAGGGTTCCAACACTAATACTTGCAGTATCCCACTGGACAAAGGCTTCCAGTCATGAAAATATCCCTTTCCCATCACTCTCTGCTTCCTGCCACTCAGTCAATTCTGGATCCAATCAGCTAAATCTCCTTCAATCACATGGGCTCTTACCTTTGCTATCAAATCCCAAAGTCTGAAGTCACATGACACCAGGTTATAGTCCAACAGGTTTATTTAAAGGCACAAGCTTTCGGAGTGCTGCTCCTTTATCAGGTGAAGTGTCAATATCCCAAACGGGGCTTTATTAAAGGCCTTACTGAATCCATCAAAAGCATTGCCCTCATCTACACACCTGGTCACCCCTTTGAAATATTCAATCATGATGGCCAATGCTTTACAAAACCTCTCCAAATGCAGATTAATTCTGTCCCTTGGAACTGCTTTCAATACTTTCCCCACTGCGGATGTCAGACTAACTGGCCTGTAGTTTCTTGATTTATCCCATGTTCCCTTCTTGAACTACAATAGCATACTGGTTAGCCTCCAGCCCTCTGGCACCTATCTTGTGGCCAGAGAGGAACTGAAAATAATTGCCAACACCCTGTTATTTCCTCTCTTGCCTCACTCAAAAGCCTCTGATACTTTTCATCCTGACTACAGATTTATCTACATTTAAAGCTGCCAGACCACTCAAAACCCCTTCTTTATTTAAACTAATTTATTTACTTAAATCCCAGTGCATCTTCTTGTAGAAACCAGTGGAGAGTTTTCCCCACGATTCTCATTGACTCCAGTTTTGCATGGATTCCTTGATGCCACAGTATGCCGATTGTAGTCTCGGTGTCATGGACAATCATTCTCACCTCACCTCTAGAGTTTAGCTCTTTTGTCCATGTTTGGACAGAGACTATAATGAGATCAGCGGTCCGAATAAAATCCAGCAGGTGTGAGTGTTTCATACTGCAGAGGCAGATTTTGGGAGTAAGGATTAGCTTTTCTTGGAGTAAATAGCAAGGTTTATGACTTTGTATGAGAGAAATATAGACTCAAAACAAATATTTACACCAAATATTCCGCAGTTATTTGATCCATTATTCAACTGACTTCACTATGAGGAAAATTGTGTGGCTTGCACTGTCACTTCCTGTGGGTTTTTTCGCTTTGGCATGTGCCTTCCTTGTGCTAAACAGTAAATGTTAGCAGCCAGCACACTTTACAGTAGCATGATTCAGGTAAGCAGCAGAACTGCTATTCATTCATTGTTAACTATGTGCTATCACTAATTATATCTATCTTTCAATTAATCTGAGAGCTGATTGGACTTTGTCTAATATTGCTCAGAACTAAATCCAGCATGAACAAATTAACAACAACCGGAGATACGATAAGAAGGGATTCAAATGTTATTTTGTTTTTGATCTGTAACTCTTCAGCAGTCACTGTTTACTTTATTCTAATGGGATGTCCGTTGAATCCAAAGGCAAGTTACCACAACTAGAAGCTAATTGTTTTCGGTGGGATGTAAATCATATTTTTACAACAAACAGCTTTGAGTGAACTTGAGGGATCAGTCTCAGAAAACAGCGGGAAAGCGGCTGAGCAATGGTTATCAGCAGATTTCCCACTGTAGATAAGGAATTCAGAGCTTAATGAGTTAAGTTTTGAGAGCAGGTTACATAAATTAGGCAATTCTCTCATGTATAGAAAGTTGAACATTTATTTAATTGATCTGCTTAAAACAATTAAAGGATTTGTTGGGTAGTTAGAGAGAAACTACTTCCTCTGGTGCAGGATTACAGTACCTGGAGGTTTATTCAATTATCTGAATATCGGAATCAGGGCATTCAGGAGTTGTTTTAGGAAGGGTATGGAGACAGATTTACTAATGGCTTTCAAAACAGGATGGCACAGTGGCTCAGTGGTTAGCAGTACTGCCTCACAGTGTCAGAGTCCCAGGTTAGATTTCAGCCTCAGGAGACTGTGTGGAGTTTGCACATTCTCCCTCTCTCTCTGTGGGTTTCCTCCAGGTGCTCTGGTTTCCTTCCACAGTCCAAAGATGTGCAGATTAGGTGGATTGGTCGTGCCAAACTGCACCGTTATGTGCAGGCAAGGGGGGTTAGCTATTAGAAAATGCAAGGTTAGAGGAGCTGGGAAGCTCTTTAGAAGGTGTTGACTTGATGGATTGAATGGCCTGCTTAGGCAAATTGATGGGCAAATCAGGGGAGTGGGATTGGCTAAATTGTTCTTACTGGTGACTAGTGAGGCTCAATGAACAGACTGGCCATGTACAATGTTAGAACAATTACTGGATTAAACCAGAAAATGCTGGGACTACTCAGCAGGTCTGACAGCATCTGTGGAGAGTGATTGAGAGTTAAGACTTCAGGTCTGTGATCTAATATCTGATTCCTACTAGCAGCACTATTTTGTTTTTATGTGGCTCTCTGACATGGTTTTACACTGGAAATGTTTTATTCCAGGTGGTTGCACAGCAGAGTTAGTGTAGAGAACAAAGTTCTAGTCTCTATATTATTGAAAGATCGATAGAGGCATCAAAGGCAGTGTTAAAATATCTACAAAGTTAGCAAGAATGGACAGGATATAGTTATCAAGAAAAGTTTACACACTGGAAATCATATCTCTTAATAAGAAAAGATTGAGAAATGACCTGATTGCGGTTGTTTAAATTATGATGGCATTTGATAAAGAATACATTGCCACTTGCTATGAATCCAAAACTATAGAACTTACTTATGTTTTAATATGATGTGGAGGTCCCGGTGTTGGACTAGAGCAGACAAAGTCAGAAGTCACACAACGCCAGGTTATAGTCCAACAGGTGACCTCACCTGACAAAGGAGCAGCACTTCGAAAGCTTGTGGTTACAAATAAACCTGTTGGACTATAACCCGGTGTTGTGTGACTTCTGGCTATATCTTAATATGAATATGATGCATTGTTTAATGTACACATTTACAAATAATCCAATAAGAATTGTTTAATGTACACAGTTACAAGTTAATCTGATAAGAAATACAGCAAATCCTTTTTTACTCAAAAAAGGAACAGAATTTGTCCTGGGGACTTTTACAATTTCTATTAATGACTTTGATAAAAATGATGAAAGTCATGGTTGCAAAATTTGCAGATGACACAAGGGTAGATAGGAAAGTATCTTGTGAGGAGAACGAAAACATAAAGTGCTGGAGAAGCTCAGCAGGTCTGACAGCATCTGTGGAGAGACAGCAAAGTTAAAATTTCGAGTCTAATGTCTTTTCTTCAGAAGTTCAGAAGTTCTGATGAAGGGTCACTGGAATCAAAAAGTTAACTCTGTTAACTCTGACATCTGAGCCAGTAATGAAGAGAGTGACGAAAACCAAAGATGTTCATGAGCTCAGAATTCGAGGTGAGGCAAAGTTCTCAGGCTGGAGAAGGCTGCAAAGAAAAAATAAAGTCCTTCAGGGATTTGAAAACAAGGACAATATGTTGCTCACCCAATCTATCAAAGTAGGAATGCAAGTGATAACAGAATGAAGAATTATGTAGAAGGAGTAACAATAGGTTGGAGGGAAAAACACAAACAAGTATTAGCATGGTTTTGGAATGCAGGTATATTAATGTACTATAAGTAAGTCTAGTGAACTGTAAGCACAAGTTACGACATGGGGCTGTGATACAATATCTATGTCAGAGGCTTAAACATGCTAAAACATGGTCAGGTTTGGGAATTAAATCATAGAAGAATAGGGATAGACTTCAGTTTACTTTACCTAAATTGGAAGGAAAATGAATATGAAGGAAGGGTTAATATGGACTGGAAATAATTCTTTGTATGGTCTTTTGATCTCTCTGCCCTCGATCTCTCTCTGCCCATAAATTCAGTGTTCTGTGTGTTTCTCTCTCACTTCACCTGATGAAGGTGCTACACTCTGCAAGATTATGATTTCAAATGAACCTGTTGGACTATAACCTAGTGTTTTGTGACTTCTGACTTTGTCCACCCCAGTCCAACTTCGCCACCTCCATATCATTGTAACAAAATAGACACAGGTTTGTGTAAAAAGTGTATACAGTGATTGAAACTGTCAATTTCATCGGAACTGTCAAGCTGTTAAGAGAACTGGCAAGCTTCAAAATAAGTGTCAGATATTCTATTGTGTTGGTTGACAGGTGTCTTAACAGCTATCATAACAGAATTTGAGCTACGTAATTGATTTCACAATCTATCATTAATAAAGTGCACCGTCTGTCCTTTCACAGTTTGATTTGCAGCTCAAAAGGCTTCTAAAGTCTTGGATGTAGGACTAGAAAGACAATTGCTGGTTTTTATAAGTGTGAACACAGATGAGGTGAAATGTAATGGTCTATTTTTGGTGAAGGAGAGCTTTTCTTTTAAATGCTGACCTATCTTTTCTAACTCCTGGGATGTGGGCATCACTGGTTAATATTTAGTGCCAATCCCTAGTTGCCTTTGAGAGGGTGGTGATAAGCTGCTTTCTTGAACCGCAGCAGCCCATGTGCTGTGGGTTGACCCAAAATGCCTTGAGAAGAGAATTCAAACATTTTGTATTTCATCAATAGACACTTTAGAAATGTAGAGCATTGTCATTATATCTCAGCATGGGTATTGAGCTCTGTCTGTAGTGGATGTTTCGTGAGACATCAAGGAATGTGTAGGTGCAAAGTTGACTTAGAAGATAAAAAAGACCATGGTGGTGAATGGACAGGCATAGGTTGACATGGAGGATATAAAGTGCCATGGGGATGGGTGGAGGGCATTTGTTGGCATAGTGTGAGGGGCAATTGTTTTGGATGAAGGGGAACAAGTTGGCATCGAGGGGACAAGGACCATGGGTGTGGTTGGAAAGACGTTAATTGGGAAAAGGGATATGAGAGCCATGGGGTATAGATGTGGACATGAGGTGGCGTGGAGAGTGTGAAGAGCAATGAACAGCATTAGTAGGAGCAATGAACAGCATTAATATGACTAGTATGCATTGTCACAGGGGGGTGTGTGTGCTTGTGGGGTTGAGGGGTGGGAGTCATAAGAGCATGATGGATATTTTTGACTTTATTGCTTTTTAACAATGAATACTATGGTCCATGTTTCCCACAGACTGCTTCCATGCTCAACATAGTCCTGTAACTGCCTCTATGCTCACCAATTGCTCTACAACTCCCCCCCACAAACCCCTCTCCCCACCATCCAGAACATGTCTCCCTTATCAGGTTTGCAGATTTTCCTGACTCTGTGCACCTGATTTATGAGCAAAATTTCAGACCAATATGTTACTAAGCAAACAAAACAAGTGACCACAATATAGTTACTTGAAATTTGGTTAAAGAAAAGGAGAGAGAAAGGGAGAAAGAAAAAGAAACAGCTTTAATCATTTGGAAAAAAAGGAAACAAATATTGATTGGGAAAACATGGAATAAGCAAAAGTAATTCACATAAAAACAAAACATTTATGTGTAAGGAGTAAAACTGTCTCATGCAAAATTAGAACATCCCTGGATAACAAAGGAAGTAAAAGTTTTACTGAAACGGGGAGAAATGTTGACAAATGACAGGTTCAGTGTACAATCTTAGGCAGAATACACGAGAAATGTGGAAAGGTATAAGAAAGATAAAGAAAGAGAATAAGAAAACGTAATGTAAACTGCAGGAGAAGACAGGGCCTCAGTTTAACATCTCATGTGAAAGATAAAACCTCCTACAGAACAGCATTCCTCTAGCATGGATCTTGTGCTTCGTCCTTGAGAGCATTATCACAACCACTGAACCACAGGTTTGGCAAGTTAGCTGTGAATTGGAAATGAACTCAGAGAATACAGATAGACAAATAGTTGAAAATTAAAATTGGAACAAATGAACACACTTTTTAAAGTTTATTCATGGGATCAAAGCATCAAAGGCAATGCTACACCAACTGTGGATCATGAGAAATCTGTAGATGTACTATACCTAGGTTTTTAGAATGCATTTTAACAAGGTGCCACATAAAAGGTTAGAGGGGGAAATGTAAGAATTCATGTGGAAGACGTAACATATTAACAAAAATTGAAGATTGGCTAGTTGGCAGAAAACTGATAGCGTGCAAGTCCAGATCGTTCTCTGATTGGCGGGAAATAATGAGTAAAGTCCTGTGCTGAGAGCTAGGTTTTTACAGTTTCCATCAATGACTTTGATAAAGGGAATGAAAGTCATGGTTACAAAATTTGCAGTTGACACAAAGGTAAATAGGAAAGTATCTTGTCAGGAGAACAAAAACAGAAATTGCTGAAGAAACTCAGCAGATTTTGCAGCATCTGAGAGAGAAAGTAGAGTTAACATTACAAGTCCAATGACCCTTCTTCAGAACTGTTCTGGACTGGTCACTGGATTTGAAACGTTACCTCTGTTTTCTCTTTACGGATGCTGCCATACCTGCTGAGTTTCTCCAGCAATTTCAGTTCTCATTTCAGATCTTTTGCATCCACAGTTCTTTATTTCGTCCTATGATGAAATAGATAGTTTGAACGAATCGGCAAAAATTCAACAGATGGAGAATAATATGTGAAAATGTGAAGCTGTTCATGTTGACAGGATGAATAATGAATACAGATTTTTACTTTAATGAGTGTTCCAAGGTGCTGATGGATTTAGGTGCTCCTATGCATGTGTCACAAAATGTTAGTTTGCAGAAGGTTAATGGGATTAAGAGATGTTAAGTTTCAGTTATGCAAAGCTTCTTTACCCTCAATAATATCAAGCTTCTGGAGTGTTGCTGGAGTTGCACTTATCCAGGCAACTCCTTGTGCGCTCTGTAAATCATTGTGGTCTGAAATCCACTGTCTAAGAGGGTGCAGAAAGCAGATTCGGTAGTAACATTGAAAAGGAAATTGGATTGCATCTTGAATAAGAATGCATTTTTACAGCTTGAGTGCAGTTCTTGCTCAACTTCAGAACTGTACTTAGAGAACTTCTTAGATCTTATCATTAGATTGCACTCAGATCTATTTCCAACGTAGTATCACCGTTGCCAGAAATTCAATTATATCAAGACAGCAGTTCAAAAACTGGTCATTCATTCCAGCTTCCCTTTGCCAGATTTTTTTTTCCCCATTCCACTGACATCCTCCAACCAGATTCCAGGATCACTCTCTTCCCTTCTTTCTAATGTCTCCTTAATCATGTCAATTCCATTTCCAGGGAAGCTAATTTTATTTCCTACGTATCCGCAAATTGTTTTGAAATTTGTTATTTGACATGCAACTGGCTAAATTACTTGTACACTCCTTAGCTCTGAACTCACTAAAAAGCAGAAACAATCACCAGAAACTGAGAAGCTGTGCAGAGGTGGTTTTGGAGGGAGAATAGCTAGACATTTCTGTAAGGTGTGGGTCGGCCTGGCAACTCAACTCCACAGCTAAGGCCACATACAGTTTCAACAATTTTAAAAGTCTTCAGAGAACCCCTGCATCTTGATCAGGCGCTTTCACCATCTCCCACTAACTCCGGCTGAGCCCATACCTCCTGCTGAGGTTACCTATAGCCCACAAACACTGGGGCTCTGATTCTGCACAAACAGATTGCCATCCTGAATTAGAACAGGCATCATGGAGGCTGCATCTTCAGCTTTAGAAAGATCACAGCTCATGAACATAATAGCGGTCAGGGCCATATAAGGTCCACGATTAAAAGCAATCTCAGTAAGATTCTCCAAATGTTATGTGCTATGAAATCACGGTATTAGAAAGCACACAAGGAGACCATTCTGCCCATCTTGCCTCTTCCACGCCCTACAATATCGACTCTCTTTCATCCTTCGTCCCTGTAATTTTATTTCATTTTGAAGTTTTGTTCCCTTTTTACTGCCTGCTGTGCTATCATGTGGCAAAGCAAATTAAATTGCAGCTGTTTGCTGGAAGCCTAAACCAAACATTTTACGTGCAACACACTATGTTTTAATATAAAAACAGTAAACTCAGTGCAGCACAAAATCTGCGGTTCTGATCAGAGGCGGACGAGGAGAGGAACTTCTTACTGGCCAAGGTTATTGGGTGACCAATCACTCACTATTTCAGGAAACAAAACCAACAAGATATACTGCTACATTGTCGAGTCAGCATAGTTTAAACTCTGGGAAACAAACTAACGTTGTCTGCTTATGGATTTAAGCATTGTCATACACAGCTGTGTTCACCACCAATTATGCCCTTGGTGAGACTCAGCAGTGTCAATAAAATTTAACAAGATGGGAAAGATACAATAAAAATAATGAAACAAGCTTCCCACAACAACACAGAAAATGTATCTTTTTACCATTCATTCCTAGGATGCGGGCATCACTGTGTGGGCCAGTATTTATTGTCTGTCATTAATTGTCCTTCAGAAGGTGATGGCATGCTGCCTTCCTGAAATGTTCATACAGTGCAATTAGGAAAAGAATTTCAGAAATTTGGTCCAGCAATAAAGAAATGGTGACATTATAACAAGTGAGGATAGTGTATAGCTTAGAGGGGAACTTGCAAGTGCCCCTGTGTATCTGCTGCCTTAATCCTTTTACATGGTGGAGGGCATAGGTTTCGGAATGCATTGGGGGATCAAAATTGATATATTACAAACAAAGCAAAATCATGATTTCCCAATGTTTGCCATTCCTTGATTTTGTTCTAGACTTCAGTGAGCCCACTTCATATGGCAGATGTTATAAATCTGGTCCCACGTTGCAGAAACGGATGTAGCCATTGGTGTCAATTAACAAGAATTGGTAAAATCTGCCTTCATTAAACAACAGCTAATTGTCAATAAATTATTCTTTAAGGGGGAAGGGAAATACATTAAACTGCACTGTAATTATGTCAATGGAAAGATGTCTTGCACAATAACAATGATGATGTGACTGAAAGGCAGAATAGATTCAAGGTTCTGATGGGCCTTTATCTATTCCAATAATTGCATTTTAACAGTTAATTTTAAAAATTAAATTAAAATAAGTTAAATGTTTACATTTTCATTTCTTATAATGGCAGAGGCTGTTTGAGCAGTTGTCTCAATCCATTTATTTTCTATTTCGCTTCAACGGACTTCCAAAACCTTTTCCAACGTTATCCAATTTGGTATTTTTTAGATTGGTATTGCTGGAGTGTCATCTAGACATACCCACATGTTCTTCCTAGCTCCTTGCTCAGGAACGCCAATAGCAAGAGACATAACAGCAAGTCGGGTCACCCATAACTTCAACCAGGAATGTGAAGTTGTGTTCAAAAGTAAATATGACATAATTATACAGTATCTTTTGACAGAATAAAACATTTTGAATTTAAATTAGAAAACTTGCTTAGCCTCACAACGAGAAGTTGGATTTAATTCGGATTTTGGTTTAGCCAAAAAAAAATAATATTCAGCCCAGTCCAATAATTTTGTCCTGGCAACAAGCTGGCATCGTTCATTATCAAGGCCCGACCTGACGAATGGTGATTTTGTCCGGTTGCTGAGGGATAGTTTGTTTGTAGGATCAAATCTAAATATTATTCAGTGCCTTAGCAACGAGACTGGATTTAATGATTGGCACATTTTTATTGGCTGTTGGTTATGGGTGTGATTAACTTTGTGATTAACTCCTTAATAAAAACCCACCCATCATTTTGTCACTCTGGATCAATGATAGCCCTTTCTAATTCTTCAGTGAGGCACAAGGCGGCAAGACATGGCGATGAACACAACGTTGGATGGCGAGACCCTGGAAATGCTGGGCAGCGCTGTGGTTAGAATCACCCTCCCCGCTGTTTACCTAGTCATCATCCTCATCAGTTTGCCTGGCAACGGAATCTCCCTCTGGCTACTTTGCTTCCACACACACCCAAAGACTCCCTTGGTCACCTTCATGATCAACTTGACCATCGCTGACATCCTGCTTGCCTTTTTCCTCCCATTCCAGATTGCATATCACTTAAACGAAAATAACTGGGCCTTTGGCAAGACCCTCTGTACATTTGTCACCACCTTGTTTTATGTCAATATGTACTGTTCCATTTTGACAATGACTTGCATCAGTGTTGAGCGCTATATTGGGGTGGCACACCCAATCTGGTACAGGCGAGGGTGGAGAAGACCACATGCGGTGACTATCTGTTTTGGGATTTGGATAATTTTAATCATTGTTTTATTACCCTTGGAATACAGTGATTTAACATTTGACGTCCAGCCACTCAACATTACAACATGCTTTGATGTTCTTAAAAGGGACATGCTTCCCACCATGAATGCATGGGGGCTGTTCCTCTTCACTCTGTTTGTGTTCCTGTTTCTGATCCCATTTACCATTACCGTCTTATGCTACACGCTAGTAATACTGAAGCTCTCCCAAACTACTCACAGTGAGCAGAAAAAGCGAGCCACCTATTTAGCCATTACTGTGCTCTTGGTCTTTGTCACATGCTTTGCCCCCAACAACATCACTCTCTTAATTCACATTATATGGAGACTTCTGTATGACACAGGGTGCTACACAGCCTACAAGCTGACCCTGTCACTAAGCTGTTTGAACAGTTGTCTCAACCCATTTATTTTCTATTTCGCTTCAACAGACTTCCAAAACCTTTTCCAACGTTTAATAGGTAGAAGGCAGTCATACGGTCAAACAACACAATAGAGATTCTGACACCGAGACTGGTCTCTCGCGGAATTTGTAAAATAACTGGGTTTGTCAAGGGACCAAAGCCACTATTCAGGAAAATGCAAAAATAAATCCCAAAGATATTCCCTACATGTTAAACCCCTATAACTGTGCCATGAAGACTCAGTAAGATCTTGGTCTACTTTCAGTCCATTGAGTTGGTCAGTCCACTGTACTATAAGTGGCCTCAAGTTCAGTGGATTAGGGAAGGAAGTATAAGGAAGGATTTTTACTCATGATTTATTGTTCCATATCACACCCTGGAAAGCACCCACACTACCAACACCAAACCTCCCCCTCAACTAACTTCCTCACCTTCCCCCACCAACCCCTGCCTCACCCTACTATGTTAATAGGACCAAATATGGATCTGGGATCCATGAAGAATAATCTACTATTGTCTAAACTCAGAAACACTGAGTCAGTACTTGAGCAAGGGACATCCTGATGTAACAAGGTGTAGAGCTGGATGAACATAGCAGGCCAAGCAGCATCAGAGGAGCAGGAAGGCTGACGTTTCGGCCTAGACCCGTCAGTGAGAATATTGGTGAAGAAATGAAAAGAAACAAACATTCATTTAATTTACTGGTTGGTGTAGGTATTAGTAACTTTGATTTTGAGTGCTTCCTCACACTCAAGATTGTGACTATATCATCAAAGCGAGCTACATCATTAGAGTTCCTGTTCAAGACACACATTCTAGATATTCTTTATAATCAAGGAAGGGATTACAAAGGCATCAGGGGAAAGGGCGAGAAAGGAGGAACACGGCATTAAGACAGAGGATCAGCCATGATCATTCTGAGTGGCAGAGCAGGCTCAAAGGGCTGAATAGCATTCTCCTGCTCCTATTCCATTGTTTCTATGTTTTCTTTAGAATTTAGAAGGTTAAGAGATGATCTGATTGAAGTCTTCAAGAGGAATTGACAGGAAAAGACCGGATAGATGAAAGTAAACCATTTCCTCTGCTTTGAGATTCAAGAAGTGAAAGCAAAGTCTAAAAATTAAGGCCAGACTGTTCAGAAGAAATGTTAGGAAGTACTTCTACACATAAAGGTCGGTAAAGATTTGGAGCTCCCTCCTCCACAAATGGCAGTGGATGTTGGATCAGTAGTTAATTTTAACTTGGAGATAAATAAATCTTTGTTAAGCAAAGGTATTAAGCGATATGGGTCAAAGCCGGGTTAGGTCACAGATCAGCCACAATCACATTGAATGGTGGAACAGGCTTGAGGGACTGAATGGCCTGCTTTTGCTCCTATGTTTCTACGTTCCACTGTTTCAGCAGATTCCTTTTTCCTGTTTGTGATGATGTTAAAGTTCCTACCGCACTCTTTGTGGAAAAGTGGGAATGTCCTCAACATTATTCCTTCCTTAGTAAATTCCATTAAAAGAAATCAGATTAATCGGTCTTTCTTCTGATTGCTGTTTGCAGGATGATGCCAGTTCAGTGGTCCTTTTGTCAATCTACTTGACAATAGTCAGAATGTTTCAAACAAGCAGCCGTAGATATTACTAAAAGGCATGAGATGATGTTAAATGACAGTAAGTATTAACTAGGTCAGGTATCACATGATGGCTGTTGTAAAGTCATTTCAAAATGTTGCTTCTGCATATTTATTAATTGTACGATAGTCCACCACTGCAAAATGCAGTTCCTGAAAAAAACCATTTGTAATTGATAAATTATGAAAAGTGACCACCTATGAACAGGAGTTTTTGAGTGACATAACATTTTTTTCTTTTCAATGTGACTTGTTCTAACCCTGGAAGATAAGCTAGAATGGTACAAAGAGAATCCTTGCTGTTGGTTGTGATGTTCAGCAATGATGCTGATAGTCTGCATGACTAAACTCGTGAAGGTCCGGTTTATAATCTGAGATCATCAACCTTGCTTCACTTTTCAGTGGGAGCCCTCTTATTCAGAAACGCAGATCTTTGCAATAGAATTCTAATTAGACAGCCTCAGAATTGCATCAGTAAAGGCACAAAAACCACTAACTGATGACAAAAGAGCCTTAACGAAGGCATGAATGTCACTCAATGATCTTCTAGTCAGTTAAGTGGAAAAGAATGACAGACCCAAAACACACAGCAAAATATTCTAACAATGAGGGGTTAAAAAAAAGTAGTTTTAAAGTTAATGATTTTCTTATATTCATTCATGGGACAAAGGTGCTAAGGCACATTTATTGGCCTTCTCTCAATGCTCTTACTCAGATGGTAGTGAGCTATGGTTTTAACCATTCCTGCACATGTGATGACACCCTCCCAGTTTTGTTAGATGGAGATCTGCAGTTATACATTTATTATGACTGTTCTAATTTTAATATGACAGTTATTCTTATGACGCCACATATTTTTCACGTGAGTTGACCTTATTTTACACATGACTTAATCACCAATGCCATTTCGGAGGAACCACATGCAGATATTATATCATCTGTTTCCTTTTATTATGATATCAAGTTCGTAATGTTTTTCTTTAAGGTTGAGGAAGTATTGAAATATTATGAAACTCATGTTTATGGGACATGGAACATGCACCATCATATCCTGGTTGGATCTTGCTGAGGGACACACAAGGCTAACAAACCTCACAGAACATCTCATCATTCTGTAATTGGAGTCTCTGTGGCCGGGCAGTGCCCACAAACCAGATACTCTTGTAACTTTGCAATGCATGAGATTGGTTAGATGGGCACTGTTATCTTCCCTACATACTGCCACACTCCATTTTCCTGCCTACTCTCAACAGCTCATGCTCTCTGTGATTTCTCACTTGTAAAATTTCACAATTTGTTCTGCAATCTATTTCTTACATGTTAGCCGAAGAAAGAAACTGTTGAAAGTGATTTGTGATGTAATGTTGATAGAAGCTGGATGGGCTTGGATGGCATAGAATAACATCATATTATGAACAAATACATAGAAATTGTAATGCAGATACAGTCTATTTGACCCATGGTCTAATTATATGCTCCATGCAAGCCTCTTCCCCTATCTCTTCATGTTTCACCCAACTTGCTCTTTAAATGTACCTGTGCTATTTGCCTGAACTACCTCTTGAGTTAGCAAGTTCTACATTCTAACCTGTGATAAGTTTGTGCTTTGATGATTATGCAAGTGATATACCATGATGTGACATTACAGGATATCCTATGAATTCCTGCATTTTTTGAAGGTTTGCAGGCTGACTGCTGCAAATTTGCATTATTTGTTTTAAACCTAACCTCATAAGATCAAGTTGAAATGAATTCTGGTGTAAGGAAGCTAGTGCCGAGAGTAAACACCGGCCAAAGACCAGTTGAGTTTAATACCCTCATTCTTTGTTTTAAATCCAATGTAATTCTGTACAACTCGCCATTTGTTAATGTACTCTGCTGCGCTGTTAAAGCCGTTATAATTAAGTTGAATTACTGTGAAGAATAATTGATTGTTTAACCTGCTGAACTTCATCCAGTGTTTACTAAATCTGCAGTGCTTATTACATATGTGAATTTGCATGTTTATATGCTGTTTACAGATTTCTCTTGTGACCTCTTGAGTTTAAATTGTTATGAAGTGAACCAAAGAGCATTAATATCTGTAAAATAAAAGTCTTTTATCAAAGTTCATTGCTCTATATGTGTTGTATTATTCTTGGACTTGTAATGATACCATCCATATGTAATGGTGTCCTAATGGCATAGTCAAACAGTAATATGTACTTCACAAAGATGGTGTGATGTGGTACATATTGCATCCCAGAGTAACTGCGTCAGAGTTTTTCCTCAGACTCCTCAGTGAGATGAAGAATTTTCCTTAGTGCAACATTGCAAATGTGTTTGTGCAGATTGGCTGTTCTAACAAGATTACTTACACTCAGACCATGTAGTCCAGGGGCTTCTGAGCAGAGGTGAGGTGTTTGTACGGAGAACTGGGATGCAAGTCAACTCTATGAATGAAACAAAATGGGATATTGTCTCAAGAGAGACTTGGAAACAAAAAAAATGACATGTAGAATCTACACTATCAAATGATTAACTAAATGCTCTATGGGCAGTCTGTAACTAATCTGGGAACAAAGCACTTCCTGTATCACTTCCTGTTCCAGCCTCAAACTGATAAATACAAAGTTACTGATAAATATGACGGTGTCACAATGTTTCATCTCTGACCTTTGTGAGAAGTGGTATTGCTCTTACATTACCATGGGAAGGTTGTAGATTCCAGTTCACCCCAGAAACCCAGGTCCAAAATCTGTGCTCCAGGACAAGTAACACTGCGGTGGTTGTTGTCTCTCAAATCAGACATCAATCCGAGGCCTTTACTACTCGACCCTCTGGTGGATAAGAAGTGTCTATGGAACTTCTTTGAAGAAAAACAAGAAGGTTCTCCATTGTCCCCTGCCCAGTCTTTTATCTTTCAGCCAACATTGTCAAAATGCATTGAAGAAGGGACTAGGCCCGAAACGTGAGCTTTCCTGCTCTTCTGATGCTGCTTGGCCTGCTGTGTTCATCCAGCTCTACACCTTGTTATCTTAAATTATTGCTTGTGGGACCTATCTGTGCTCAAATTGGTTGCCTCTTTTATAACTGCAATTAAACTTAAGAGCACTTCAAACTATGTGAGGGTGAGTAAAATGGTTCTCTGTATTTTAACTGTGTTGGGTCACCTGCAACAATGATTTAAAATTATTTTTGTACGCAGCTATATGTTGCACTAATAAAAATCTAGTTCATTTGTTCAATGCAATCAAAAAAGTAGCCAATTACAAGGTGTGCCTCATTGAAACGAAAGTCAGTTTTATTACTTTCTAACCTCAAGAAAAATAATACGAATGTGACATCAAATACAGATAGAAACACAGATGTAAGGTTTGAAAGGGGGCACTGCCTATTACTAAAAGCAAGATAACCTATTTGCAGCTAAAATTCTTTTGAGTATCCTTGAGGTGTTAGGTTTTTAACCTCAGACCACAGTTGTTTAGGATTGTCTTGAATCTTCAGCATTGGCGAATATTGCAGGTATCTATGAGTTCTTGAAGTGCAGGAGTTGGGAGGACATGTTGAAGCTGCATAGGACTTTGGTTAGGCCACTATTGGAATACTATGTGCAATTCTGGTCTCCCTGCTATTGGAAGGATGTTATGAAACTTGAAAAGGTTCAGAAAAGATTGACAAGGATGTTGCCAGGGTTGGAGGGTTTGAGCTATAGGGAGAGGCTGAATAGGCTGGGGCTATTTTCCTGGAGCGCCAGAGGCTGAGGGGTGACCTTACAGAGGTTTATAAAATCATGAGGGACGTGGATAGGGTAAATAGACAAGGTCTTTTCCCTGGGGTCGGGGAGTCCAAAAGTAGAGGGCATAGGTTTAAGGTGAGAGGGGAAAGATTTAAAAGGGACCTAAGGGGCAACTTTTTCACACAGGGGATGGCGCGTGTATGGAATGAGCTGCCAGAGAAGGTGGTTCAAGCTGGTACAATTGCAACATTTAAAAGGTATCTGGATGGGTATATGAATAGGAAGGGTTTATAAGGATATGGGCCAAATGCTGGCAAATGGGACTGGATTTACTTAGGATATTTGGCATGGATGAGTTGGGCTGTATGGTATGTTTCCATGCTGTATACTTCTATGACCTTATGACTCTATAACCAATGTTCTGCAGTAAAGGACACAGGATTGTCTCTTTCAAAAGCCACTGACAGAAAGCAAAGAGAGGGAGAGCAACCCTTCTCCAGTTCCCAGTTATCACTTCTGTTGCTTGCCAAAACAGCTGCATGAAGTGCAGCTCATTCAAGCATTCCTTTTTTCTAGGCTCATTGTTTTGAGAGTGGGATAATCTGCAAGTGATTTTCATCTCCAACATGTACAAGTTATCTAAGAATGTACAAAAAAATGGGAGATACAGATCTAAATTTCAATGCCTTTTGGAAATGTGAATTTTGTCTCAGACTGCCTTTGTTCATCGTATGTTAGTTCCATGAAGTTGGGCTGACCTGTGGTTAGCTGATTGTTGGGGCCATTTTAACTCGGTGTTTTTCTTTTCTAACATAATGAGTCCACTAAGCCCCAGGTATTAAGAAGAAATGATGGAAGTTGAAATTTGATAGTCCATACCTTACCATCATTATGCTGTATTGAAATATAAATGCACAATTTATAGAGCCAAAGAAGTTTACAGCATGGCAACAGGCCCTTCAACCCAACTTGTCCATGTCGCCCAGTTTTCACAATTAATCTAGTCCCGTTTGCCTGTGTTTTGTCCCTGTTCCTCCACACCTATCTCATCTATGTAACTGTCCAAATGTTTCTTAAATGGCAAAATTATATTCATCTCCACCACTCCCTCTGGTTGCCCATTCCAGACACTCACCACCCTCTGTGTGAAAAAATTGCTCCTTTAGACCCTTTTGTATCTTTCCCTTCTCACCTTAAACCTTTACCCTATAGTTTTAGACTACTCGAGGTTGGAGAAAAGCTTTTGGCTATCTGCTTTATCTATGCCTCTCATGATTTTATGGACTTCTATAAGGTCACCCAAACTGCCATCAAAATTTATACCTTGAACAAAGTCAACATACTGTAGATTTGGGGGATCTGAAGTAAAAATAGAAAATGCTGGAAAAACTCAGCAGGTTTCATAGCATCTATGGAGAGAGAAATAGAGTTAATGTTTCAAGTGTTATACTGGACTCAGAATGTTAACTATGTTTATTTCTCCACAGATGCTGCCGGACCTTTTAAGTTTCTCCAACACTTTTTGTTTTCTTATTATTTCAGCATATGGCTTGAGGTGCAGCTCCAGTAGCACTCAAGAAGCTTGACACCATCCAGTTCGAAGCAGCCCATTTGATTGGCATCACATCCACAAACATTCACTCCCTCAACCATCGACATTCAGTAGCAGTAGGGTGTACTATCTGCAAGATACACTGTGGAAATTCACCTAGGCTCCTTAAATAGCCTTTTTCAAACCCACAACTGCTACCAAATAGAGGCACACTACCATCTGCAAGTTCCCCTCCAAGCCACTCACCACACAGACTTGGAAATATATTGCCATTTCTTTAGTGTCACAGGTAAAAATCCTTGAACACCCTCCCTAATGGTATGCACATGGACCACAGCAGTTCAAGAAGGCAGCTCACCACCATGTTCTCAAGGGCATCCAGGGATGGGCAATAAATGCTGGGTCAGCCAGCAACATCCACATCCCGTGAATGAATTTTTAAAATCTGGAATTATTAAGGTCCCTGCACCTCACATTCACCTTTGATGTGAAAGCATGGCAATCACATTCACTGCTTTTTAGATCTCACATTGGATACCTTTAGATTCAATGTCATTTTCTCACCTGTTCCACATATCCATGGAATTTCTGCGAGACCAGAAGTCTGTCTATCCCAGCCTTAAACATATTCGATATTGGATCAGCATCCTCAAACTTCTGGGATAGAGAATTTCATGGATTCAACACTTTGAGCGAATTAAATTTTCCTCATCTCAGTCTTAAATGATGAGGTTCCTTATCCAAAGCCTGTGCCCTCATGTTTTAGATTCCTAACAAGCAGAAACAATCTCCCAGCATCTAACCTACCAAGTTTTATTCATAATCTTGTATGTCTCAATGTGATCACCACTGATCATAGAACAACCTCCTCATCCAGGGATCAATTTAGTAAACTTTTGCTGTATAATCCAATGCAGGTGTATCTTTTAGTAAATGTTGAGACCAAAAGCGTATGCACAACTTCTGACATGGTCTCACCCAAGTGCCACATCAATTTTTTAAAAATCTGGTTTTCTATTCTTGCAATCAAAGGGTGTAAATTCACACTTCACTGCATTATGTTCCATCTGAGATCATGTTTGGCACTCACTAAACCCATCTCTACATCTTTGCAGCCTCTCTGTTACCTCCCCAGAGTATACACTCACTTGTGGATGAAACTTAGGTGCATTACTCTCCATCTTCATCTGAGTCACTAAGTTAGATTGTAACTAGCTGAGGTCCTGACTACAATCCTTGCAACACTTCACCATTCACGCCTACTTTAAAATGCTTTGCTTATGCCAGCTCTCTCTGTAACAAATGCATGACATCAGCACCATTTACTTTATGCACTCAGTGTTCCACATTTTTACCATTCATTAAGCAAAGAAATGTCTCTTTAATTCCATTCTAGATGTTTCAATAATATCATCATCAATAGTTTTGTGGTTCATATTAATATCATGAATGTAACATTTTAGTTTTGGAAAAATTACATTTGTAAGGACAAGGCAATGATAATGCTGGATTTTGGAATTTGCATATTTCAAAAGATAGCCCATGCCGAGGCAATGAGGTCTTAATTAGAGGGAGAAAACTATGAAACTTTAACAATGAATGACTCATTCCTGAGTTTTTGGTAGAGCCAGAAGATCTACATTTACTTTATTAAAATATTTGTGTAATTCCCAGATGAAAATTC